CGTCACCCGTCCCCTCTGAGCCTCTGCTTCACGGCGGCGCACAGCCTCACCCTTCAGGACCCCAGTGCCCGCTCTGCCCTGCGCCGCTGGGGTGAGGGCCCGGGACAGGGCAGTGGAATGTCCTGGCGCCCCAGGTCCCCTCACGAGCCGGAGCCTCCTGCTCCTCTCTTCTCCAGCACTGCGCTCGCCCCCTAAAAGCTGCTCCTTCTTAAGTCCCGGCCCACACCTGTCCACTCTTCCCCTGCACATGGGATCCAGAGACGCTGCCCAGAGTGTTTTGGTTTGGTTTTGTTTGTTGAGAAGCCCAGGCTTGTGGTGAAAAGCTGCTCCTTCTTAAGTCCCGGCCCACACCTGTCCACTCTTCCCCTGCACATGGGATCCAGAGACGCTTTGGCCCAGCATCTCTGATGGTAAGTCAGGGCAGGTGACTCTGACCCCCATGAGTCTTTCGATGATGTCTGGGGACACCTGTGGCTGTTACAACTCCTGGAGCTCCTGGAGCTGGCGCAGGTGGAGGCCAGGGACATCAGTGCACGCTGCAGTGCCCGGGATGCCCGCCCCAAAGAGTAATCTGGGCCAAGAAGTTCAAAGCACAGAAGTAACCAAGAACCCATCTTCTAACACCTTCCATGGCTCCCTATTACCTTCCAAGGAAAGTCCCAGCGCCTTGGCCCAGACCCCATTATCTTGGCTCCTGGCCTCTCCAGCTGATGACTCCACCACAAGGGGCCATCACGTTTTGCTGCGTGATCAAGGCCCAAGCACGGGGCCTTACATCCTGGCTCTGCTCCCTCCTGCTGTGTGATTTTAGCCAAGTCAATTAACTTTCCAGTGCCTCAGTTTCTCCATCTCTCAAATGGACGAGTTGGTGGTTCCTAAGGGTTCCGGCCCAATGAAAACACTTACACAGTGGTTGGTTTCGTAGTAGCAGTTTTCACCACAAGCCTGGGCTTCTCAACAAACAAAACCAAACCAAAACACTCTGGGCATGTGCTGCACACCTGTCATCCAAGCTATTTGGGAGGCTGAGGCAGGAGGATTGCAAATTTGAGCCCAGCCTGAGCAATTTAGCAATTTACAGAGTCCTTGTCTCAAAATAAAAAATCAAAAGGGTTGAGGATATAGCTCAGTGTGAAGGCCCTGGGTTCCATCCCAGTACCACAAAAAACAAATCAAACCAAAAAAATAAAAGGGCCGGGTGTGGTGGCACATGCCTATAATCCCAGCACTTGGGAGGTTGAGGCAGGAGGATCATTGAGATTTCGAGACCAGCCTGGGCCACATAAGTGAGTTCAAGGCCAGTCTGAACTGCATATCGAGACTCTCTCAAAAAGACAATAAATAAATAAATA